ACACTACTTGAATTTAAAACAGTAATAGGCACTGTAGAGTGAGAAATATTAATTAACCATCCAAGAAATCCAACAAAACCCACCATTAAAATATTTGGAAGCACCTTTTAATACCACTTAATGTAGTCTTAACAGATAAGACTGTGCCTGTCATAGATTCTCTCCTCTGCCTCCACTCAGTCCATTTACTGCACGTTTCTGACAGAACACTTCTTCTGATGAGACAGGGAATCTTTTCTGTACTTGGACAGCCGTGAAAGGCATCTCAGCCTTCATCTGTGAAACTGTGAAGCATCTCAGCATCAGAAAGTTCTACCATGGACATCAGAAAGTCCTACCTCTTAACCCTTGCCCTGCCACCACGCCACTGTTACACAGTTGCTAGCGTCCAAAGAGAGTTTTCCACAAGAGCCCTGCAAGTAGGCAGGTACAAGGTTTTGAGCAGGGAAAGACAACTTCAGTATGATTTTGCTTTTCCAAAACTCACACCAATTGCATAAGCTGCAGAGCTCTTCACCAAGGACCTCTAATTTGCCCAGAAACCAAACAACAGCACTGTCACTTCACCAGCACATTGCGTTGCTTTCTGTTGGTGCCCAATCATCACCATAATAAATAACTTTCCAATTACAAGCTATTATCTACCAGAAATTTAAAAAAAAGGAATATAAAAAGTTTGATTAATTTATTAATTTTATAACATTTCTTAAATTGTTTTTATTTTGCTATAGATTTTTGCACAATCCTGACAGTTTTTCTCTCCCTGTCCTTGTAGCTAGTCTATAACTGTTTGTTCACTGATTTTTCCCAAAGAACAAGATGTGCTATTATTCAGCTTCCATTCTCCTCTTCTAATCTCTCCCTTTCTGAGAAGTCAGCCAGAGAGTAAGAAAGAGTACAGTGAAAACAGTATTGTCAGAAAAAGGCAGTGTATTTTAAAAATAGATTGCCATTTTTTTCATTAATTTAAAAGCTATTTAGTCATAACTTCAAAATTGAATCTAAGTCTAATATCATGAAGCATCATCTTTCCAGTAGTTTTTCTAACCAGTCTTTTTATTTAGAAGTTTCAAAACTGGAGATCATTTTAAGGTAAGGTAAAGCTACATAGCAATACCCTTCTGCAGAAAAGAAGCAAAAAATACCGACATGGATTCTGTCTAATCACATCATATTTCCAATATTTTTTCAAAGAGAGTTTTTCCCCCAGCTGTGTTAGCTTGAGGACATATTCAAGAAGCACCTTTTATTATCAGGTTTTTGCTATAATATTTATTTTGGGGGGCATTTAGGTTTTCCCCTCTTTTTCTCACTGTGTTCAAGATGGGAATTCTTTTAAAACTAGTGTATCACAGCAGTTGTCTTGCTCCTATTATTTTATTTGCAGAGAGTCTTCATAAGATCAAACACCCAGAATTTAACCACCAATATTTCTTCTTTGTTTGAAAAAAGAAAATAAAAAAGTATTGGTTTTCTAAACTAAACTGACACACTCAACTTTTGTTGAGATAATGCAAGCAAAGCTCAAGAAATTCTGATACTTTGATCCCTCAGATTGAATCATCAGGTTTCTGGTTTTTGAAGTGCTTTGCTCAATCCTGCTTCTAATGAAAGCCAAGGATTTTTAATGAATGAGTAATAGGAATGACATTCAGAAAACTTCCACTGAGTGGTCTTGGCAATGGAACTTTGGTTCAGTGTAACTGTAGAGCTTTATACCTTAGCTGATTAAAAGCTGATCTTCTCATGAAATCTTTAGGATATATGCAGAGAGTTCAAGCTGCACTGTATTGTAATGCAAATGAAGAAAAGTTAATTATAATGGGAACTATGTTTTATTAAACTGCTACATAGTTTTCTCATTTTGCAAAGTAAATGTAAAATAAATGTTTTGTCATGATTCTCTCCTTTTCCTTTTCCTCTAAATCCACTGCTATAAACCAATCTGTCAGAATGTAGTTTATTTATATGTTTGTTCAATAACAGAGAAATGTTAATGCTCTGCACTCCTTGCTCCATTTCAACTTCAGTTCTCCTCTTTTAGGATGCAACTCTACTAAATAGTTTTCAAATGAGGTTTGTCTGAGAGGTGAGATACCTCCTCTCTTCCACATGTAGAAGTTTTTTGGTATTTATTTTCTCTGCCCATTCATTTTAAATCTCTGACATGGATACACTTAGCTGCTGAAATTGTCTTGCTTAAAGTTCCTGAATTTTATGTCCTCATCTGTTCAAGGGGCATCTTTTTATATCACTATAAATGCCACACTGAACCGATCTGAAGTGTTGGATACAACTTATTTGCCCTTCCAGGCAGCTTTTTCCCACCAATGGCAGGGAGCCAGAAGGGTGCACGGCTGCAACACCTCTCCCAGCACAGTTTCTAAAGACTGCTCAGAGACCATTCTGGCAGGACTTGTGGCCCATAGGGGACTGGCCACATTGGAGCAGCCCATTCCCAAAGAACAGGACATCTAGATGCTCCATGCTAGAGAACTTCTTGAAGCACTGCAGCCTGTGGGAAGAACCCACGGTGGTGAAGGTTTGTCTCCCATAGGTGGAACCCTATATGAAATAGGGACAATATGAGACGAGGAAGGAGAAGAGAAGGAAGAACAGACGACAATTCCCATTCCCCATTCCCATGGGACACTTGGGGAGTGAAGGGGAAGTGGAAGACTCAGGACTGAAGTTGAGCTTGGGAAGACTGAGGTGGGGAGTGGGGGGGGAGGTAATTATGTTTAATTTCTCATTATCCTTCTTTGTTATTAACTGGCAGTAAATTAAATTGCTATTCCCCAAGGTGAGTCACCCATGAGAGTGATTGATAAGTGACGTCCTTGTCCTTATCTCAACCCAGGAGTTTTTTCATCTTATTTTCTCCTTCTGTTCTGCTGAGGATGGAGAACAAGTGAGCAGTTTGGTGGGAAAATGAGCCAGCCAAGGTCAACCCATCACAGGCAGAGAGATGAGGGCAGGGTGGGTGGAGGGGTCCTGCTCTACCTGCTTTCATCTAGAGACGCATGGGTCGCATTTTCTCCTTTTTGCTCTGAGCAGTACCTGCTAATTGTTGGTGCTCTAAAGTCTAACTTGCTTGCTGTTTATTACCTTGGGCAACAAATTTAAAAATATAGTACTTAAGCAAATTGGTCCAACATAAAAATAGGAAAATTCATTGAACAAACTGGTAAACATCAGCTATTCTTAATTAGAGTGATTTTTCTTTTTTATGTGACTTACTTTATATATCTATGAGTGTCCCTTAACACTATAAGAAACATTTCCCTCCTCAGCTGCACTAGAAAGGACAAATTCCTCTAAGGTGGTGAAACCACATGAAAGGTCAGCTGTATCCTGAGAGTTTGGGTAGCTCAGTGCCTTGTGCCCTGCAGAGAGACATTACAAGCTCAGATGTGCTAAGCATTTCATGTCCTTGAAAGAAAAGTAAGGGTGCTCCCTGTGTTATGACAAATATTTTTGGACTATAAATATAGTTAAAATAACCTTTAATTTTGTGAGAGGCATCTGCACTTAAATTTTACTAGGATTTTGGCAGAAGCCACAGATTCAACCTGTCTCACATGCTGGAGTGCATGATTAAAGGGATGCAGGCTGGCCCAGCCAAGGAGGTGTGCTGCATTCCTACTTAATGTGTGTTACTGTTGCCAAGTAACATAAATTCAGTGCCGCAGTCAAATTCTGCCATAACTCAACAGCTACCCTCCAGCAAGGCATCAATCTTGAAATGAGTTGCTAAGATGCAAACATAACCTTTTCATCATTTCTCTGCAATGGAATATTGTTTTGTCCTTCCTATTTTCCACTACTTCTTTCTCTTCCCACGAAGGTATGGGCAAAAGAATGTGACAAAAATATTTGCTGTCTGTCAGCAACTTTTAACACTAAGTGGTCTGTCATCATTTCTTTAACACTAAGTCAACAGTTATTGCACTCTGTTCAAAGTTTTGGCATGTTGCTTCCTAATCAGCTGGTTGAACCTCATGTCAGGCCCTCCAAGAACTTCCTTCCTTTTCCAGTCAGCCAAACTGGCCAGGCTTACAAGGCTGTGAAAGTTTTGAGTCTCAATGTTCAGCGAGAAAGCATCTCTGTTGTTCCCAGTGTACAATGAAACTGAAGGGAAGCAGACAGAATGTCTTCTTTTCCCTCTAAGGGTGACAAGCAAGCTCAGATTAAAACTAAAAAATTTAAAAAAAAAAAATCTAAGAAAAGGGAAAACCAAACCCCTTTCACACTGTGCTGGTTTTGGCTGCGGTAGTTAATTTTATTCACAGTGGCTGGCATAGGGCTGTGTTTGGGATTTGTGCTGAACACAGGATTGATAATATAAAGAGGTTTTTATTGCTGCTATTGGGGGGCTATGCAGAGCCTTTTTTGCTTTCCTTATGGCCACACTGGTCAGGAAGTTGGGGGTGCTTGGGAGCCAGGAAAGCCAGGACAGGTGACTCAAACTGACCAAAGGGACATTCCAGACTATGGCATAAGTGAAGAAGGAGGAAGGGGGAGACATTTGGTGTGATAGTGTTTCTCTTCCCAAGTCACCATTACTTGTGAGGGGTGTCTGCTCTCTTGGAGATGGCTGGACACCTGCCTGCCCATGGGAAGCTCTGAATTAATCCCTTGTTTTGCTTCACTTGTGCGTGCAGCTTTTGCTTTTTCTATCAAGCTACTTTTATCTCAACCCACAAGCTTTTCTAGTTGTTACACTTCCCATTCTGTCCCTGACCCCAAAGGTGAGTGAGCAGCTGCATGGGGCCTGGCTGCTGGCTGGGGTTAAACCACAACATACATACCGTTTTGGGTATGACCAAGCAAAGGACTCACATGTGTGGAATCTCAAAACACACAAAGTTAATTTGGCTTCAGTGAAAAGGTAAAGACATGTTTACACACCTCTGTGAAAGTTATGCAAGGTTTTTTAAATGCTCTGAGAGCTTTGCATGGTAGAACTGCATAAGGGAAGGCCACAGGAGCCATCTTACCTCTACCGAAGTCAAGGATGCAAGCAGTTTCCACTGGAGAGCAACAAACGCCAGGATGTCTTGAGCCAGGATATCCAGAGGCTGGGATATCCTGTTATTATAAATATAGGGAGGAAAGAGTTCAGGTTTAGGTTTATTTAGGTTTAATAGAGATTTTAGTTAATTCGTATTTAATGGATTCAGGTTCCATCCCCATTCAACTAACAGATGGAAATGAAAATGAAAATATTACAGGTCTTTTGACTATTTTTAAACTTCACAAGTAACAGACTTCAGCAACTGAAAATGTAACTGAGAATTTCACAGAAGAATTAAGGAGTCTGATACAACATATTTTTTATTTGCTCAGTTGTTTTACCCCTCAAAAAGACTCATAAGACTGAATGCCAGCAACATATGCATACATAGCTGGAATAGACAGAATAATTTTTGGTAGCTGATATATCCAAGTTGCATCCTTCCAGCAGCAGCTTCAGAGACTTCGTGCCACTTCTTGCTTATTGAGATTTGGTTCACCTGCAAAGCATTGGCCAGATTCTTTTTCAGAGCATTGAGGTCTCTGTGTAAAGCTCATGAAATCTTAAAACTGGAAGAAAATTCAGTTTTTTAACTGTACTTTCAAGGTCAGCTATGTTTAACATTGATTATGTGATGTATTATTTTTGTTCTATGAGCAAAGGAAGTCTCTCTTCATTTATGTGTGTATTAGACAAAATTTTGTGCTACCATTGCCTAAATTTTACAGTAGGACTACTATCTGTGACCACTATACACATCTGATGAAATGCATATGTTCATACAGATTTTGTCCTTTATCTTTTTTTTTTTTTCCAATGACATTTTATAAAGCTTCAGTAGAAGAAACAACCCGATGGTTACAGCTGACCTTTTAATAAAATACCATGAGGTTCCTCATAGCACTGTTCACATCAGAGAGTCTTTGTTGCTGTCTTAGCAGGCTTCATCACTTATTCCTTTGGTGCTATCCTATGCTCATTTCTGTTTTAGGATGTGTATTTCAGATAACTTTATGTTGCAGGCAGGTGTTTTATAACATGGCAGGAATCCATGGGCTCAAAATGTTGCTTAAAAATACTTTAAATTAAATGTTACTTGTAAGACAAACTAAGAGGGTTTTTAGCTTGAGTTTCTAAAAAAAAATAAATAAAAAAAAAGAAGAAGCCAAAACCTGTAATCACCCTGCACATCTTTCCAATTCTTACCTTTTGAGTCCACCAGCAAACAGCAGTCATGAGTGCTGGATGTGTCCAAGACATGAAGATCCTGCAACTTCACAAATACCAGCTATAGAAAGTACTGGTGTCTTCATAGAGGACCCACAAAAGAGAATGCTTTTTTTTCTGCTGGGATGATTTTCCATTTCCCTGAGCAACAAAAGGTCACCCAGCATATACACAGATGAGTACACACAGAAGATACCAAAATGTGTGGAACAGCCACCAAACTGCATGATCAATTTACTGCACATGGTGGTTTCTTCCCTGCAAAAGACAGGAAGGAATAAAGGAGAACAGTGTGGTGAATACAGTATGGTATTTAGGGAGACATACATATCATGCTAAAAGAATTTTATGAGAGATGGCATTAATTTTAACTTCGAAACACAGAGGGAATACACCCCCCTCTAATTTAAAATGCATCATTTTCAATGCCCAGAGAACATTCTGTTCTGCAACAGCACACTTATTTCTTTAGTCTTGAGGCAAAATGCTCAATCAGTAAAACCCGTCTTCCCTTTATTTTTGTTGATGGTAATGACCATTGTCACTATTCTTATACATCTCAAGTGTTTGTAATTTCAGCATTTGTTCAAAGTTTCAAGTCCTAATAGCCCTGAGTCAATTATTTTGCAGGATAATGATTTGTAAACACTTAGAATGACTGAATCAAGGAGAGGGCATAGGAAGCAATTTGCTGCACTTTTTGTAGTAGTGACTGTGAAATACAAAGAGGTGACCATGAAATACAAAGCTTGTGTTGCAGTATCCTTCTTGGATATGGATTTAACTGAGAATATGTTTTTGAGAGAAGAAGATACTTAGGATTTGAAAGAAAGTGCAGCAGTTTTCTCAGGATGATGTATTTGAGCGAGTTTTCACAGACTGGTTCCCACAATTAACTACTGATTTTGCTTTTTTAGTTAATGACTGTTATACCTCTAAGAACATTCTTGGGAAATGGGGGGGTTTTGCCACTCTCTCCCTTACTGCAGCTCAGCTGTGGCTGTAACTTACACTACAAGCACTATTTTATGAATTAACCAGAGCCTGGGAAGGTGTCTGTTTACATTTGCACAGAATAGAATTAAGGATAGCAATGTGGCTTTTTTAATAACAAAAGGGGTCTGAGATGCTGCAGAATGATCTCCGTAAGTGGTCCTTCCACTTCAAATCCCAATGCTGTACGCAAGATTTCTCCTACCCATACATGGCCAAGTGTCCGGTTTATCTCGGCTGTTTGAGGGGCCTGGAAAGGCCCGGGGTGGCCTTGGGGCAGCCCGCGTATCGAAGGACGAGAAGAGGCTTCAGTTCTTCTTTCGGTTTTTATGTTTATTAATTGTTTATCTAAAAGATGTTCTTTCAGCCGAACAGAGATCTGCTCAGCAGTCAGCCATGAGCACACTGTCTGCCCTCC